ATTCCGATTCATTCATTCTTCATGTTATCATTCTTTTGACATTTCATACCTCATTCAATCCTATATTCTATCATCCATAGGCGATTCGAAAAATAGGCCTTTCAGCGCTGAATTTAGTATAATTATTATTTTTAATCTTCAACTTTTCGAATCCTCTACTTTTTTCCAAACAACCTATACCATTCATCACATGCACAAAACATTTCATCATTCACACTGAATTATCAACTTCGGTTTTTATTTTTTGATATGTATAAATAACTTTTATGAAACTTTCTGCTCTTGAAAATGTTTTGTTCGTTATAGAATCATGAAAAAAAACTTCATATCAACAATACTACCAAAATACGTACACCAGAAAAAAAAATCTCTAATTATCATTCTTCAATAAAAAACAACATGCTCCTTACTTTTTCATCTGTCTGTATATTCCTCATATATCAACTTTTCCCAAATATCTCATAGGACCTGATTTCATCAGATCATTCCTACAAAAACCGCAATGCTTCAATATCAATCATATTCATCTCATAAACATATATATATCATATTCATCTCAAAAAATTATATATCATCTCATATCATATCATCTCATATCATATCATCATAATAAAACGCAAATCAGAGGCAGTCGTTCAATCCAGTCATCAGGATATTCTTCCACGACCAATCTCTGATATACCGCGCTTCTCCAAAAGTATAATCAACCAATTATACTCATTATCCATCATTATCAACTCATTAATAGACAAAACTATACACGGGTGGACGTTCAACCTGTACTTTAGGTCATCTGCCACGTCTGCCTGTGTAATTACTCGTCTATGGGAAAACTCTCAATATAAAATCAATACAATTCTTCATTCTCATTGTTCATTCTATCAACAATATTCAACTTCACGGAACTTCGAATATTTATTGAATTATTTGTCTAGTAGCCAAGCACACGTGATTATAGAACTAGCTAGCTCAAATAACCCGATAAAAATGAGAGCATATCATTTGTTATATTCTGGTAGTACGAAATGTATCAAAAAATATATGTTTCAGATATACACAAGAGCAGAAATGCAACTAATATACTTAAAAAATGCATTAGACACTTAAAAAAACTAAGAAACCATTCAAAAAATGCCGGGAGATATTTCAATCTCAAGTTTATATCAATGTTCCATTTACAAATTTTCCAACTGAATAACCTGTTTGTTCATCAACACTTTGTTGATAATTATCAATTCTCAAGAAAAGAAAGTTGATAGCCAAATTTGAGTAATTTCACCTGAAAACAACTCGACCAATATGATTATTCAATATTTGAGTACATGTCTACTTATTGAAATAACGAACTCTTCAAAATTATTCTTATATAGTCTTAGTGACTGGTGGCTAACCATTATATAGCAGTCTGAAAAAATCATTGAAATCTCTAGGAAAGTATGCATAAATATAAATGTTCAAATAAAGTACCTATGCTCATCGAGATGTCATTATTAAATCCCAGATCTAGTATCTTTATTAAATACTACACACATCATTGAAATGAGCGCCTGCTATTTTTCTATTTAGTTGAAAGTAAGCAAGGTCTATGAACTCATAGAAAGCAAAACTGTTGTCAGCAAAGTTGAATTTCGCAAGTAGAGGTATGCCTGCTAAGGTCATTATGCTACGGACTTGCACTTATTCATTGAATCGTAAAAAAAACCCTAAAATGTTTCAATCAATATTGACTTCGATTTTGTTCTTGATAGCTGAATAAAAAATATCTACGTTTATCTAACTGAAGATCTCTCAAACTGTTGTTGAATCAAATTAAGAGTCGAGTAGGTATCATGCATAATTATCATCCTGTGTATTTATTGAACAAAGCTGAAGATACCTATATGTTTCACCATCAAAATATTTAATAAGTATTTGTATTAAAAAGTAGGTATGATTCAAAATGAAGTATGTAGTTTAATAATTAGAATTGAAAGTACTTTTTGTAGGAAATTCCGTAAATAGCATTATTGAAGCAAAAAAGTATTGAAATACACCTGAAATGATTTTCAAATGTACGATTATGTTATAGATCGTTATTAAAACCTAATGTTACCTATGGGTTGTGCCCTAAACGAAAAAACAAAAAATAATTTTTTGAATAAAGCATTCACTGAAATGTTATCTTAACATAATATCAACTAGTAAAAATTTTTAGCAAATATGTAATACTACGACCCTTTTCCCTACAAGCTGGAAAAATTATTCTTGAAGACTTAGTGTCTTCATTGCCCAAACAAAAAAAATCTTATCTTGAATTCTGAAAATATACTAATACTAAAGGAATACTGAGAACTCGCTAGTCAATATTTTGAAAAAAAACTCTATCAAGATCATTAGTGATTGCAAAAAATTGTTCGGAATTGAATCCGAATTCTGAAAATCAAAAGTTATAAATAAAAATTACTGAGCTTACACGTTTGTCAGATATTTCTCAACCTGTTTTTCCAAATGTACCTATTTTTAACTTTAACACGAAATGATCTTCTCGATTTTTTGCTGTGCTATTTCTTCACGGGTTAGTTGAACTGTGGGGTTTACAGGGCGTACTGGCATTTGTTCAGTGGCGTAGAATGTATAGTTAGTTTTAAAAGTTTGAAATAAACGTGATTTTTGGGTTTTTTCCAAGTCTAGTTTTATTTTTCTTGCCTTAGTCAATAAATATTATCAACGACTTAGATTATTACGAGCCATTCAAAGAAATTTTAGGGAAAGTGAATAGAAAATCTATATATGACTGAGTATCGTGCCAACTGTATGATTACAAGTCAGAGTGAGCTGAAAGTGGACAGTTATCCTCCAATTAGGTAGTCATTGACTTATTTATGATACACAACCCCAAGCTGATACTGACGAGACAGGTATTGGAATGTATGTACCATCAACAAATCAATAGGTTTGATTCAGGTTGGCTCTAATTATACACAATTCTCCAAATATGTTATTGGTAATCGCTCAGAAGCTGGTACTGGCGATACAGGTATTCTTCACGTATAGACAATATCAATGATATATTTCCAAGTTGAAGTAAGACAGGTATTGGGCATAATCATTCATAACTCAAGAATTGTGACGTGGTGAGAGAAAATAGATAAAATAAAATGTAAAAATTGAAAATGAAAAGTTGAATTTATGCATGTACTGAATATTGTCAAGGACGCCCTGTATCTTGGAAAAAAGTAAAAAATCTGAATATTTCGGTACACTTGGATGCTCTGTTGATATAAGGGTTGATAGTGCGCAAACAGCTTAAAATACATCTACCAATAGAAACGAGAGAAAAAAATTGGGTTGTGCTCCATTTTGGTTGAAAAAAATTCTTAACGTAATATGATATGATATTTGGAAAAATCATATATGATATATCACATATACTAATGAATGGATAGCTGAAACTGAACGCTCTGTATTTCTGAATGAAAATCGAATGAGTTTCTCAAATACCCCACTCAATACTTATCTAAAACCAAAATTAAAATATTCAATGTTTCCCAGAAACTTCGTAGAATCACACCCCGTAAAATGAAATAAAATACACAAAATATCACCAGAGAATATTTTTCTAAATCACTTATTATACCATTATAGCAAAATATCCCAGAATTTTTAAAAACAATGGTGCATGGTTGTATGAATTATATCATTATTATTTTGCCTTTCAAGAAAATTAGTTATTCAGAAAATTCAAGAGAATCTATGGTCTGATAATAGGAAAAAAGTTGAGTTGAAAGTGAATTGGAAGCAAGTATTGAAAAATTAATTATTGAAATAGATCATTGAATTTACAAAAACTTCATATTTTGAAATGAATGGTGGTTGGATGGGTGTATTAGCTTTATAAAACACAAAATTGACTGGAATAACGAAAATTGATCACAAATCAGAACGAACTCAATAGATTAACTATGAAGAGTTAATCTGTAGGAAGGAGCAAGGCGCCTCCACCACGTGTCGCAACTCAGATGGTTTCGGTAGACTATTTGGCAAACGGCGTGTCCACCACATGTCGCAACTCAGATGTTGCCCTCCTATGGATCGTAACTTGGCAACTCGCTTGGCTTGATGAGAGGATTTCGATCCTTTCACCACCCAACCATATTCATCCCCAAATGAAGAGTCAAGATAGTTTTCGTATAAAATTAACATTTATTGATTTAATGGGAAAGTCGTGAATAAATGTTTGCCACTTGGCAAAGTAGCAGAGACAAACCATAGTGAATTACCAAACGGAACACAACACAAAACGACAATTCAGATAGAACATGGAAAAACAGTACTTACATTAAGACGTCTAACATGGGGACCAGCAGGATCAAAGTCGGGAGAACGGTACACTTTTTGGCAGCAACTCGTGAATTAGTAGGTAACTCAATTACGGAGTAGAGTAAAGTGTTATCGAAATGCATTTTACTTAGTAATAATCAAATAGTTATGTAATCAGAAATGAGTGATCAATAATAATCAAAAATCAGTAATGAATAGTAATGAATGGCTTATCGATTCGGAATCTATTTATATTCGGAATCGATGCTAGGTTCGCTATTTTCCACACGGGGAACGGTCGATAGCTTTTCGATACCGCTTACCTAGGTATTATCGCCGCGGTAAGCGATTTCTTTGCAAATTATAAAGGAAATGATGTCTATGAACTCCGCTGGCCTGATCGAACTGCAATGTACTGAATGTTTCAATTTGGAAAAGTTAATTAATGATAGAAGATCTTGAAACGAACGAAAGTTATTTCATAGACATTTGTACTTCTTGACAATACGAAGACGACGAAAAAATATGTCATTGCTCTCTTTTCTTTCGTAAACAGTTTTTTGACAAAATGGTCATCAGTTGATGAGGGTTATTAGGTCCCCCCAAGTAGTATCAGCCCAGGGGCCCACAAACTCACGTTCCCTGTTAACATCGAATCATGAATCATCCTGTATGAGTATTCAATGGTGATGTATTTACAGGGTGGGCGAAGATGGCGAATGGGACGAGACAGACATTCGCACACCAAATAACGAGACGACATATCAGGTGGGGGCACTGCAGCCCTACACCGTCTACAGTTTTCGAGTGATGGCCATGAATGCAATGGGACTCAGTCAACCAAGTAAACCGTCCTATTATATGGTCACTCTGCGTGAAGGTAAGTCCTCTGTTTCCTTTTTTCAATGCCTTATGATTACTAGACCTCAGACAATTTGTTTCTCTAAACAATCTAAACGATTCATTTTCGACAAACCGCTGAAAATGATTGTGATATTCATTTTCAAATGATTTTCGATAATCTATTTTACAGCAGATATTGTATCAGTATAATCATTTATATTATTTTTAATCGATGGATTCTACGCACATACGATTCGATTGACGTTCTATATAGGAATAACGAAGTAAAAATTTCAAATAAATATATTGGAATCGATTATGAAACACATATTAATCTCACTCCGAAACAGGGTTCATTCTGGATTTATGAAAATGCACCATTCATCGGTGTTCGGTGTTTTGTTCATTATAATAACAATTTCATTTGTTTTCTGAATCGGTAACGAAAAACGTGTGCGAAATACTGAGTATTTATTTGTGCGAATCGCTGCATTATCAAAATATTAGCTACAACGTCTATATATGAACCAGCAGTTGATATCATCAACGAATATTCAGTCAAGATGTATATGCTCCAAAGATAAAAAATCAAATAGTTACCAGAACAGGTCAGATCAAATATTATATCAGATAATGTCGTTCTATTCGAGGTCTGGAGCAGCCCAATCGATCTAGTGAATCAAATTTGAAGTTTGAAATTGAGTTAGGTTTATTCGGCCATATATATTCGGCATAGCGAGATGAATGTTACAGAGGTATGGATATATAACATACGCGTAATATACAGTGAGTGAACTGATAAACTTTTACCTGATTGGCCACTGGAGACGAAAAATCAGGTGGTATATAATTAGTAATGAGACATTGCAATTACCTCAGCTCCAAGCTGATGGAAATGTTATGAGGTATCAGCCTTCATCATCTATTCATTACCAATAAATCCTCTTCAACGTGACGTTCTAAAGGTCGGAGAAATAAATTGACGGGATATAACATTGAGAAGTTAATCGCTATACGAATATCTAGAAAAAGCTCTGAGACCCCAATGATGAAGTGACCCTTGGGAAAGTGACAGCCGAGAATGGAAAAGGATATTCTACCAAAGTTTCATGCAATTTGACAAACTCCTATAAAACTTTAAATATACCGTTTATGATTCGGCGGCAAATTTTATTCCAACAAACACATAAATGTAATCGTAGAATTTTTTTTTAGTTTTTTTCTTCTTTAGAGTTCGAACAATAATTTCAAATGAAATATATACTTCTCCGACTTACGGTGTCCTGAACTGAATGTCTTTTCTTATTTAAAGCTCATTTATATATCACAAGCCAATACAGCGAAAAGTGAAAAGATGAGATCACAGATGCCACAAAATCTAACTGAACTTTTCAACAAAAGAGTACCGTTTTCAAAGAACTCTGGAAATGTAACAAAACCGAATTAATTCAACTGTATATGGGATCAATTACCGTATATGCATTCAAAAATATTATATAGAAGTCTGCACCTACCAGAGAATAGCGAAAATATTTTTGTTTCACATATACTTACTTGATTATATTCAATTTTGTGTCGTCAACAATCTTGAATCCTTCATGTGTACGAATAGTTCGCATATTCCATAAGAAATTTCGAATAATTTTCATTGGGTGCCAATGAAAATAATTAATTATTTTCCTCTGCTTTATAGTTCTTTCTGAAGTGTGCTGTTTTATTTTTGTTGAAAAGTTCATTTCTGTTATGTTATCAGTATTTTTATTCCACTCAGAAAAACACGAACGCCCCTTGAATTTATCTGCAGTCCCATTTTGAGTGCGTGAATTTGGTGAATAAATCCACGCCAAAAATTTAACTTGAGAACCTTCGCCATATTTCAAGGTACCTATCTCGCGCCAGACTAACTTATTTCCTATTCGATTCGTATCAATATTAACCGCATCGAAATATGACCAAAAGTTTTTTTCTTCTGGAACGGACGACAGGAAATCCTTATTATATACATACATACAATAATGCCGGTCAAACTGAGATCTAATCCATTTCATAGTCGTTAACTAATGTGGAAATAAAAGTATACAAATAATTTATTTTCACTATATGAAAGCTATGGAAGATCGGACACATTCTTTGAAAATACAAAGAAGGGCGTCCCTACCAATGTGTGAATAGTGAAAATCCAACCATCAGTATTGCGATAATGTGCTCTAGGTATTTGAGTTCATGGTATTCGAGTACAACCACTATTTTATGTTTATATATATGATATCAACAAGTCACGCAATACTGAATTAATGTGAACAATAGATTGTATCATCGTGCAACTGGAATGAATAAGTAAGTCTCAAAATGAAATAGGATGAATTGGACATACTGGAAACACGAAATTAGATCGGTATTCAATAGTAGGGGAAGTAGCATAAGTACTTCGTTGTTATGTATGTACATACCAACTGGCCATCGACCTTACGAGAGGTCCTTCAGCCCATGTATGATCTGTGAGGCTTTGTTACTGACTCCATACGCCACCCTAGGAGTAGCACTGTTAATTGGATGGACATAGCGAAAATTAGAATTTATATAGATTATCTGCTCTGCCGGGATTCGAACTAGCCTTTCGATGTTCTGATTACTAGTCGAGCGCCTCAACCAGTAAGCTATTCCACCGTCGATATTTAATAAAAACTGTACAATATGAATCTAATCACGTAGATATACAGTGAGGACCTGATGTTTCAGTAAACTGTTGGAATAATAATCTGATGCTATTATCAAAATTATCATCATTGTATGTATCATCATTTTATTTATTGTGATAATTGTCGATCTGACTAAATATAAAAACTCAACACATTCAATATACTCACAAAAATGAGTATTCAAGAATTGTCAAACAACGAAAGTGGTAGGTGAAATGTAATTCTAATGATAAAAATATACACTTTGCCAAAACTCGTTCGTCAAAAGAGAGGCAAAGCTTTGGAATTCTGTGTGCCAATGGAAGTATTTCCAAGAACTTATAACCTCCAAAAGTTGAAAAAAAATCCAACACCTGTCTATCTCTCTCTATCCTCCCTAGGTACGCACGATGTTCTTCAACGATACATCATTGCAGATTTTCCAGAAAAGAATTGACGATCTAAAGTGAATCCATTAAGCTATCGAAAATAATTCAAAAAATTTTGTTCAGTTGATGTAACTCCTCAACACCATCGCGATAGTTTTTATATCGAAAAGTATAGTATTTTATATTATACAACAAATACTGTTCTGTCCGAATCTAATCGAGAGACAACAAAAGAGGGTATAGAGCGACCACTGCATGAAACATCGTCATGAAATAAAATGTTATGTAGAACGGTTATATAATATGATACCTATATGAAGGCATATCTCGTTCGTGAAACAGGTGATAATAGCTGTTGTGCGAGTGAAATCGAATCCGTTCAGCAACTCGAAGTTTTCCGCCTTTTCAGCTACTGTCAGCTTACTATTTCACTTCTGTATTGTAATATAGTGCCCGGGGACTTATGCCGACCGAAAGTACTAAACTTCTAACAAAGTGAAATGTGGAGTATATATCTCGCACAGTCGCTCTATTGAAATAAAATATTTACACCCTGTCCTGGCCAGTCATATAGAAATTGAAATATTTCATGACAAATTGACATAAAATGTTCGGAATGGGACTAGAAGAAGAATACCCAATGGTTATCACGATCTATATGACAAACTAGAAATGCCAAATAAGTTAGAGATTCTGATTTTGACTTAAGGTTCAGGTGAGCTACTAATCTCCTATATTCACACAGGGCATACATATTCAGAGAATTCAAGAGATATATATGGGGATATTTGTTAATTCTCGAGAAATCTTTACCTCGCCTAAAAGTAATATTCAAGTTTGTAGTAATCCATCCAAAAACATTTTTTCCGTGGGGATATTGAAAAAATAATTTTATTCGGATAGATTCGAAATTCATCTTCCTCAAAAATTATTAAGATAAAGATGATATTTTTGAGAATTCGCTTACTTCATACCCTTGGGATTTTCAACCATATGCATTATACTACAAGGGAGGTAGGATTGCGTTAATGCAATGCATAGTTGTGGAATAGTCATTGTGCTAGCTAAACATATTCACTACATCACAAATGGAATCATAACAGATAACTAATAACCGCGAAGAATATCAAATATAGGTAATTCTAGAAATCGCCTATATCGAGAAAAAAGTCATGGTATATTCGCCCATAAAAAGGCCGTATACATATTCGTCCGAAATCTACAACGACATTTATGAGCTATATTTCAGATAGAGATTAATTCGACATACTCTGACCCTAACTCCAGATTGAAATTCCCGCCGCCCTTTATTCCTTTCATATAAATCATCTATACAATATTATACAATACCGTATAGTGATTCAGGATTATCACTACATGACAAAAATTCCACCAAAGATTTTCAATTCGAAAAATCTGCAAATTTTATATAAATTTCAATGTGGGTACATATGAATTCAGAATGGCGTTTTCGGATAGGCTATATGTCTAAAAGAATGAAAGATACGAGTCGACTCAACTTTTGCGGTCAGGTCAGTATATAATAGAGAATTCAATACTAATTGCATCATCTCACCATGTCGCCCGAGGCCGGCCATTCTGTTCCTGACAAATTTTCCGTTGTTTTTTTGCCGAACGGCCCCAGCTGAAAGGGACCTTACGGCCCTAATGCGAGCCATAACACCGTCAGCGGTAAATGTCAGAAATACCGAGAACTTTATTTCATTCGGCCCCAGTTTCGAAGCTACGAACGCTACGAACGCTACGAATGCTACGATCTACGAGCTCCGATCTCACTAAGAAACCCTATCTAAGTTATCGGATCGAATTAAAGCCATCTTGTCGCAAAACACTGTTGAAGTGATCCTTCCCGCACAGCCGCTCGACTAATTCTGCTAAATGCCACTGTTTCTAAGCCGTCCCGATAAAACGATAAGAAGTCCGCACCATCAAAACTTCATCTCTTCTCC